AATCACCTCCCACCAGGTTCTTCCCACAACATGTGGGAATTGGTTTGTGTGGAATGGTGCCTGAGCCCCCAGGACGAACTATAATTGGTGGAAATCTGGTATTCCAAATCAGAGTCCCGCAAAGAGGAGCCTGGGTCCTGAGTTCCAGCTGGAGGAAATTCAGGAAGTCCAACCTGTTGGAAGCAACATGAAAGCGGACTTCATTGCATTTCCACTGGATTCTGAGGGCGTCTCTCTTGCAGACAGTAAATTAGCTGTAATTATCCCTTTGGCATCGTATTAGCTCCCTTAAAACAAAGCAAAACAAAATTCAAATCTGCAGGCCTTCTTTGGCCTGGAATCCACATTTTGCTTTAGCAAACTCTCTGGCCTCAGTCCAGGGGCCTCCAGCCACAACAGCTCCCTGGACGCTTGTTGCCTAGATTGCACCTTTTCTGCAATTCCTCTGCTGTCCAACATATCTCTTCTGGACAGCTCAGCTCCCTGTCCTTCTTCCTGAGGCACAGCTTAGCTCCTCTCACACACACAACACACACCACAATTTGCTGACATTTATCTGAACACACATACAAAACAATTGCACTGGGTATCACCACACACCAACCATCAACCAGCCAATGTCCACTAACCTTCACACATGCCAGTGCCAACCACCAACACACACAAGAAACACACACAAAAAAAGAGTTGCAAAATGCCCTTAGATAACATGGAGAAGAGTTAAGAAGCAAAATCATGGCGGAAAAAAAAGAGACGCAGGAAATGAGAACATCAATAAGACACAGTATCCCACCACTATGGGAGGCGGAGGTAAGAGCGGACAAGTCAGGAGAAAACAAACACAATCCCTGGCAACAAAAACCCGTCTCTACCTAAAAATACAAAAATTAGCCGGACAGCGTAGGTGGACAGGGCCTGTAGTCCCAAGCAGTTACTTGAGAGGACTGAAACAGGAGAATGGCATGAACCCGGGAGACAGAAAGCTTACAGTGGGCGAGAATTAGCGTTACAAGACCATCTGCCCCTGGCCTGAAGTACGCCATGTCCCCTCTCTCTCACCCTTGGATATAACTGGGCTGCATTCAATTCTTTCTTATACCTCTAACACTGACCATATGATCACCATCATCCTGGCCTTATATATGCCTTAGCTGTTTCCTCTATCATTCCAGAGTTCTCATTGTCATTTCCTGCATGCTACTTACAAAGCCAGTGCCTCTGCGGGCCCCTCATGTCACCTCGTTCATCTCTTCATCTCGGAATGATCTCGCTTTGGGATTACGCCGGTCCTCTTCCTGACGATCAGCCAGGTGAGGTCCAGGTCGCCCTGGCCTAGCGGCCTGTTCACTTGGGGTCAACAGGCACCATTGGGGGCTCAACCAAGTGCGAGACTGCGTTCGCGGGGCGGGTCTTCCTGCCACACTGGAG